TCGATGTCTGTTCCTTATTTACCTATGTCCTTTTGTTGGAAACAATATTTGCTGTGATATGCTTAATCGCAGTTCTTTCTCTCCACCCAGTATTCCTGAGTCTGTATTTGTGGAGTTAATGAAATTTACCACGTCGTCTGTCGAATTTAGTTTTAATAACACCATGTATCGACAGATTGACAGGGTCGCTATGGGTTCTCCTTTAGGTCCTGTACTTGCCAATATTTTTGTTGGCTTTCACAAGGAGAGAATACGTAGTAATGCACTTATGCCTCAACTGTATTGTCGATATGTCGACGATACTTTTTGTTTATTTAATGATGAAGTTGAGGCTGATCAGTTTCTCTCTTTCCTGAATGGTATCCATCCAGCGCTGAGGTTTATGGTCGAGAAGGAATTTAATTTTCAACTTGCCTTCTTGGATGTTTTAGTACATCGGACACCGACAATTTTTCTCACCTCTGTTTATAGGAAACCAACATTTGCGGGCTTATATACGCGTTGGGATTCCTTTTGTCCTAGAAAACATAAGATAAACATGATTAGAACGCTTGTTCATAGGGCATTAATGATATGTTCGGAGTCTTTCTTGGACGATGAAATCAATTTTAAAGAAACCCTATATATATATATATATATTAATTTATATATATAAATATACATGTGTGTGTGTCTGCATTGATTCCTAAACCTGTTTGGAGTGGTGCGGAACGTCAACATTTCTATTATGCTATTATTTCTCTTTAATTTTCGTCCTAGGTATGACGATAAACTACATCAGCGTCCTGGCTAAAACGATAAGCTAAGTCCAAGAGCAAGGCCTCTGATCAAGAGGTTTCGAGGAGCGTGGAACCACCTCTGAATTGCTGGTGTTCACATGTCCACTCTGACCCGGGGTGGTAGCACCTGTTAGGGTCCCAGCTATGGGCAAATAGTTAACCCCCAAACTGCGCTCATATCACGATGAAAGGTTTTAATACCAGAAATACTTTGTAAAAAAATTATTACCAGCAATACACTTTTGTAAAACAAACATTACCAGCAATACATTTTTGGATAAAAAAAAGTTGTCTGTTTTTAAATTTTAGTTTAGGTCAGCGATTCGGTGGTGAATTATGCATTGAAAAATAATTCATATTTATCTGGATTTCACTCATTTAATTCGTTATTTAACTCCACTCTTTAAAACTTCTATCTGTTAAATTTTAATCCCCACGTTCAACTTTCGGCCTTCCTGTACTTCTTTCTTCTGTTACCCCTCTCTCTAGAGCTTTCATACATTTCCCTCCCACATTTGTTTCCCACTCCCACACATACACTCTCAGTAAAATTTTGTTTTTCATACATGGAGGTATATTTTCCAATTTCTTTTTGAATTTGTTGGTCTGATGAATTTGATCGTGATTACGATTCCAATGTAATAATTTATAACCATGGAATATTAGTATTTGAGCCTTAAAAATTTTTGGAAAAAAAAAAAAAAGAAAAAAAGTACTACAAGCGATACATATTTGCAATAAATAGATTTTTGAAGAAAAAAATTACCAGAAATAGATTTGTTGTAGAAAAAAAATTATTACCAAAAATAGATTTTTTTTGTAAGCAAAAATATTACCAGAAATAGATTTGTTGTAGAAAAAATTATTACTAAAAATAGATTTTTTTGTAAGAAAAAATATTACCAGAATTTGATTTTTGGAAAAAAAAATATTACCAGAAATAAAAATTTTGTCGGCATTAAATAACCCATTGAGGTTGATATGCCATAAAACGATCCAAACTCTTCAATTTCTATGTGCTATCCATTTTAGTTTTGAGTTTTGTAGAAAATCCTCAACCGACGTGGTTTCTGGGATTTTATAAAGTTCTTTGTTCATGGTTCTAGAGCGCCAGTCCACGACCTCCAAAGAATGGTGATCCTCGCTATGACCTTCAGGCTTAATTCACTGATTTGCATGTATGGGATGCCCAATGAATAAAAAAGGAGAAAATTCACTTTTAAAGGATCGTTTTTATGCTGATTTTCGTTTTAATTATGTACAAAAACCAAAAACAGAAATTGATATTTGAACTCGTTTTTTATTTTAAAAAAAATAGAGAAAAAAGAGAAATAAAACCAATGCCAATTTTCTTAATTTAATATTTTTAACAACACCATATTCGTTGAAAATTTTTTATGTACAATGAGGGTGTGAATTCTATGCATGCAGTTACCACCATTTTTTGCCTTTGCTCTATTCAAGTCTTCGGCTTGTTCTTCCAGATTTATTTGCAGACAAATATAATGGGAAATGACGTAAACTCTTGCATTCTAGAATTTCCAATTACCATAACTTCTTGAAAATAGTACGCACCCATAAATAATACGCACCCCAACAAATGATCCAAAAAATATATATCTAACCCTATGTATAATACGCATCTATAAATTTTGTCCAAAAACAAGAAAAAATTAATGACGAAGACATTTTGTCGACCTTGACATCAAGAATAAAATCGAAACTAAGAGACTAAAACAATTTTGAAAATTACCATCGCGGTTTTCCCGAGTAATGGTAACAGAAAAGAAAAAACAGAGTTGGAACTTATTGTAAAATGGATACAGAAATCTTGGGATTCCGTCAGTGAGGATGTTATAAAGAGAGATTGCAAGAAGTGTCGTCTCACGACAGCCATGGATTGCCTCTGAAGATGACATCCTTTGGTAAGAGAATGAAGAAGGTGAAGATAATATTGAACAACACGATAAGTTTTGTTTTTTTTAATGACAATTTAAATTTTGATTCTATAATAGAAAATGGTGATGAAGACGATGATGAAAATTAAAATTTCAATAAATTGTTAACTTGATATCTTATTTCCTTCAAAATTGACATTTTTATAGATTTTTAAATTTTTTTCGCCAAATAATAAATGGGGTTACTGATAAACAAATTTATTGACAAAAAATGATTACTATTAATATTGTTGGATTTAAAATGAAAATTGGGTATCTTTCTTATTTTAGAACAACAAGTACGTATTCATTATTATAAATCAATAACGAAAAAATATTTTTGTTTAAACCTATTTATAACACGCACCCCTACGTGTAATTTACAGTAAAAAAAATGCGTATTATGTTCGACAAATTACGGAATGAATGAATGAGGCCTGCATCATAGGAAAAAGTTTAAAATCATCAATTGATGAACTCAGCTTATCTCTGATGGAAAAATATTTGGTAATACGCGCGCTTTTTAAGGGTTAAACGGGAAATAGCTATGACAAAAATTAAAGTATACAAGTCAGAAATGAATACTGATTTTCTAAGCGTAGCTTAGATGTGGCACAAGGCCGAAAGTATGGGGCACTCAGCGAGTACCGAACTCACTATTCAGTCGTAATTGATTTAGCGAGACGAGCTTGCTCTCCAATACACCACCTCAAGGTGTCCCAATAGTGACTTTCCAAGCGTAGCTGAGATGTGGTACAAGGCCGAAATTATAGGGTACCCAGTGAGGATCGAACTCACTACACAGTTGTAATTGTTCTAGCGAGACACACTTGCTAACCATTACACTGCCCTAATGGGGCGATTTTCTAAGCGTAGCTTAGATGTTGCACAAGGCCGAATGCTTAGGGCACCCAGTGAGGATCGACCTCACTATTCACAAAAGATTTTCTAAGCACAGCTTAGATGTGACACGTAGTCGAAAGCATGGGGCACCCAGTAAGGATTGAACTCACTACTCAGTTGTAATGGTTCTACCGAGACAAGCTTGCTAGCCATTACACAACGTCGAGGTGCCTAAATAGATTTTCGAAGGGTAGATGTGGAACAAGGCCGAAAGTATGGGGTACCCAGTGAGGATCGAACTCACTCGTAATTTTTCTAGTGAGATAAGCTTGTTAACCATTACACCACCTCGAGGTCCCCTTGATTGTTTATAATCAGTAAAATTATAAATTCCTTTGATGTTGACGATGTTACCAGAGTAAAAGTAAAGAATTCGTGTAAGTTCTTGAAAAAAAATTTTTGAGTGCGAGATAAGCTTGCTAACCATTACACCGCGTCGAGGTGCCCACTGTCAGAAATGAATAATAGGAAATTCAAATTTTGTTTTTACTTCAAAAATTCTTTATCCCAATACTTTTAGAGGTTCTATTCTTTGGTCGGTAGCTCAAAATAAAATGAAATCAGAAAAAAAAAAAAAAAAAAAAACTAGTTGAGGAAACAAACTCCGATCATACGTCTCGGGACGAAGCATTTGTTATTAGGGAACAAAAAAGATATTTAGCTAAACCCCCCCCCCCACGAGGGTTACATGTGGTACAAGGCCAGGTTTAACGTGGGATCTCCGAGCCCGTAGGCTCGGCCAAAAATATTCCCTCTTTGAACCCGCATAAACGGGTTCAGGGGCAGTCAACCACCTCGAACGAGACTTTGTCCTTCGGCGGAGTCTCGTCCGGGTTCCTCTCCGCCCGAAGGCAGAGAGTTCGATTGTTAGCCATTAGGGAACAAACGTTTGTCTGGTCAAACAGCGATCACATTTTGCCTTTCCCTCTTTCTGTTATGTTAAATGGCAATAACAAATATTCAAGAATCCCTTGAAAATTAAGAATAAAATGCTGAAAAATGAAGCTCCCAGAAACTTAATACGATGCATACTCTTTCTATTTCTCTCTCTCTCTCTCTTCCTTTCTCTCTCGTTCTCTTCCTCTCTCTTTGCCTCTCTCTTTCTCTCTTTTAAAATACACACGCATGCACATTATTAGAAGCCTAGATGCGTGCCATATCCAAAATTTATTTATTTATTGGCCCTACGAGGTTGCAAGTTTATTATGTCTTTTTTTTTATTTTTGTTGTTATTGTGGATCACCCAGCATAAGACGCAAGGTAGCATGATTTGTAATCCGGGAAATTGACCGCAAACGGAGAAAAACAGCTCGGAGCCACAAGCGATAGTAAGTTGTAGAGAGTCATGATCGCCTATGTCCTGAAGGGACGCGACGCATAGATGAAGATTACACGGGGTGGGTGCCGCTTAAGAAAACAATACCTGGGCACCAATTTTCACTTAATTGCTTTTGGTTACCTTTCTCCGAGGAACTGGTTACCGACAAAATGTCTTTGCTATGTCTTTCTTTTCTTTTCTTTCTTTCTTTCATACTTTCTTTCTATCTTTCTTTATTCTTTCTCTCTTTTTTCTTTCTTTCTTTCTTTCTTACTTCCTTTTTTTGTTCTTTGTTTTTTTCCTTTCTTTCATAATTTCTTTGTTTCTTCCTTTCTTTCTTCTTTGCTTGTTTCTTTCGTTCTTTCTTTCATACTTTCTTTCTTTCTGTGTTTCTTTCTTCCTTTAATCCTTGTTTGGCTATTTCTTTCTTTCATGCTTTTCTTCTTTCTTTATTCTTTCTTTCTTTCTTTATACTTTCTTTATTGTTTGTTTATTTCTTTCATGCTTTCTTTCATAATTTCTTTATTCTTTATTTGTTCCTTTCTTTTTCTCTTTCTTTCTTTCGTTCTTTTTTTGTTTGTTTTTCTTTCTTTTATACTTTCTTTCTTTCTTTCATACTTTCTTTATTCTTTGATTGTTTCTTTCTTTATTCTATGTTTGTTTTTTTCTTTCATACTTTCTTTCTTTATTTATTCTTTGTCTGTTTCTTCCTTCCTTTCCTTCTTTCATGCTTTCTTTCTTTGTTTTTCGTTCTTTATTTAGTCTTTGTTTCTTTCTTTTTTCTTTCTTTCTTTTTTTCATGCTTTCTTGCTTTCTTTCTTTCTTCATTATCTGTTTCTTTCTTTCATCCTTGTTTGTCCCTTTCTTTCTTCGATAAATAAAAAAAAAATATGCAGAAAACATACCAATTTGGTTTTCTCTTACAATCACAAATGGGTAAACATTAATATCTTATTTAAAAACAAAAGCGGACGATTTACATATAATAGCAATAAGCACAGACGCAAACACAAGAATACAGCGGTAATTATTTCAAACAATTTCTCGCTTGGCTATCACCAATGCACGATACATTGGTACGAGATTATCCCACGTTCGCACACATGCAGCCAATTTATGAAGGTTACAGAATCGCACCAGTACACTACTTATTGTTTGGCTTTAATATTCACAAATGTTATTTAATATTGTTTGAGAATTTTTTTCATCTAACAAAAAATATTTTCTATAAACTTGATACCAAACAAGAAAACCTTTCGTAACACTTATGTGTACTTAGTAATCAAATACGTCTATAGACGATAAAAAATAAAAAAAATAAAATAAAAAGCATTCTTAGTTGAAAAAAAAAGGAATAAAATAAATTTCGCAAACATTATTTGACCATCTGGCAGACTCGCCGAATTTTGTTTTCTTATACAAGCTTTTTGTTGCAACTTTTCTTTGTTTTAGATTTTATTCCGTGAGAACAAAACAAGAGAGAGAGAGAGAGAGAGAGAGAGAGAGAGAGAGAGAGAGAGAGAGACTAGGGAAGAGAAGAAAATATGACTTACAAATTTGCAAAATAAAACAATGTCGTATTGTATTGGGGTGTACCTCAGACACAAGTCGATGAAAACCCTGTGAATCACAGTAAATATGTGCATTTGTTTTCTTCGTTTTCAGACATACACACACGCACGCGCGCCCCCCCCCACACACACACACGCACACACACACACACACACACACACACACATACATACTCACACAAAGACGCACATTTATTTCGCGCCTTTTCAAAGTCGACGAAATATCAGAATTCTGTGACTTGAAAAGACAACTGGATCCCAAGAGCTGGTTTTCTTGCATTGCAAAACGAATGTATTTTTTTTCCGCTTGACGAGCTTTTTCTTTAAAACGATGTTCACCTAGTATAAAGCCCAAGAGCCATTCAAGCCAGAGTCCTACAGAGTAAAAGACACAGTTTATGGTGACATGTGCGGAAGATCCTCCTAAAGTCTTCTTTAACTCTACAGGCTAGTCCAAAAGTCTTGTATCACCTATATAATATAATTTTCTGTTTCAGATGGCTGCCAAGAAAATGACGGTGTTCATACAGACATTCTCGATGAAAGTGGACGAACAGAATCCAGTATATATGTTTGTATTACTGCATTGTTCTATTGTTCTCGTGACTTTTCGCTAAGGGGTGACAAGATTTTCTGACCACGCTCTATACTTCTGACATTCCTGCCTGAGCACTGAAAATTTTAACTATTTAATTTTTCTCCGTCCCCAAAAGGAGTAGATATGTTCGCCTATCATCCGATTCGTACTCCTTTCCGGCCGGGAGGTTTATCCCTTGTCTCCTGATTAGGATTGGGTTTCCAGTTCCTTCTAAAGTCTACTTGAACTCTATATTTCTAGCGTCTCCACCTGAACTCTGAAATTTTATTCACTAATTAAAACTCCAAGTGTAGCGTTAGCTGTTATCTTTCCTGTACAATACGAAGAACTTCAGTTTTTGCCCTTTCTTACGCTAATATAACTCCATGCAGTAACTCTCTGCCTTGAGTGGCTCTCGAACTATACATCGGGTGAAAATTAGAAAAAATATGTAAAAAAAAATAACGGTTGATGCTAGACTTGAACAGGTTAGGATTGTAGTGATTGCAGAAGTATCCTCTCAGGAGCCGGTACCTCAAAGCAACGGATTGCGGAAATAAGTTCGAGTTGAACTTACCTTTCTAATGGAATAAGAAGAGAATGAGGGTGGTTCTTTACAATGTGCCTAGCGGGGTGGGTCTTATCTGTAAAGGTTAGAGCTGGTGAAACTAAGAACTGTAGAGATCGAGAAAGCATCCTCTTGGGAGTCGGTCCCACAAAACATGCGAAAATGATGCTCGAGTGGAACTTACATCTCACCAATGGAATACGGAGGCCGGTTCGCTGTAATGTGCATGTGGTATGGTGGTTAGAGCTGGTGAAAATGAGGAATGCAGTTCATCTGAACACTTTCCATGAAAATAGCGATGGAGCAGCGAGGGGGTTGTTTATAAACACTTCCTTTCTTTTCAAATATTATTTTTTCTTTCTTAGCAATATTCAAATTTTGGTGCGTTTGTTTGGTCTTTAATGTAAAGAGAATAAAATCGAAATATAGAGGTAGATTTCTTTCGACAAGGTTCGAACTGTCGTCCTATTCCCCTCCAACTTGTAGTACGTCGTCGATTACCCTAATCGATTCAGCTGTGAAATCCGGGTTCTCATCTCTAGTTATTCTACTTTCCTTTCTTCAGATTTTTTCTATACTATATTGTTTGTTTACGACTTAACAGCAAGACAAATCTTTGATGTCTCCTTTAATTATTGTCTTTATCCATTTGCTTTTTTTCACAATGTCTTTGGTTGGAGAATAACTCGTTACGATAAAAGCTAAAAGAAAAAAATAAAGAACTGGTGCAGCTAAGGACTGTAGAGATCGAGAAAGCATCACCTTGGGAGTCGGTCCCACAAAATAGCAGTTCATGGGAAGATGATGATCGAGTGGAACTTACATCTCACCAATGGAATACAGAGGGCGGTTCGCTGTAATGTGTGTGTGGTATGGTGGGTAGAGCTGGTGAAACTAAGGAATGTAGTTCGTTGGAACACTTTCCATGGCAATAGCGATAGAGTAGCGAGAGGTTTGAGACATTTCATCTGCGACGTATTTGAAACGGCACCTCCCAAATTAACTGGTGACAGTATATACCTTAAAAAAAGTCGTAAGCTTCCCTGTATCTATATATATATATATATATATATATATATATATATATATATATATATATATATATATATATAGTTAAACCTAGAGAGCCAGACAAACCTACAGGTTTCACCTAAGCGGATCGTCAGGAAGGCTGGCTCTCCCTTCTCCCCAGCCTTCCTTGACGATCCGCTTAGGTGAAACCTTGGTAGGTTTGCCTGGCTCTCTAGGTTTAACTAGGTCTGCTCTACTTACTGTATTGAGCACTTTATTTAGTTGTTTTGGGTACTCGCATCGGTTTTTTTTTCTTTGGGCCTTGGACTTGCATGCTGGACGATTATTTTCGGCTAACGTACATGTTCTTGGTTCTTTCTTTTTTTATACCTTTTTGTTCCCTTTGGTATTGGTTTGATTATTCGCAAATCAAGACACCGAAGGTTTTCCGAGCGAGTATTGTTTCTTAAACTTATAAGATTTATTAAGAATATATATATATATATATATATATATATATATATATATATATATATATATATATATATATATATATATATATTTTCACGGTAATTGTCTTGACGAACTTTCCTCTATACTACCTCAAGTTTATGAATTTAAGCGCATTACTACAGGGTAGTCCGAAAGCCTTGTCAACTCTAATATAATTTTCTATTTCAGATATATGAACGGAGCGCCTTTACGAAACTGATGGTATTCATACAGACCTTCTCGATGTGTGACAGCGTCAACGAAGGGTGATTAAACTGAATCCAGTACATGTACTTTGTATTACTTGTTCTATTGTTCTCATTACTTTTTGCTAGTTGATGATAAGACTTTCGGACCCCACCCTGTAGATTGGCGATACGGTCTCATTATTTTACAGTTGAAATGGCCAGGTGTAACCCCATTGGTTCTACGGTAAGTGTCTCTTCTATTGCGCTTTTCGCTTGTGGAAATCTCTTCCGGCTTTTTGTTTCCCAATCAACTTTGACCTTCGAAAATTTAAATGCAATGTCAATCGTTATCTTCTGACTTCTTAATTCTTCTTTTATTGTCCCCTCGCCTTAATAATAGTTTTTTTTTTCTTCATATTCTCTAACACTCCGTAACCACTTGCATCCTTGTGGCCTTATTATCTTGCCTGGGGTGAAATGATTAAAAAAAAAAATTATAAGCGTATTTTTACTAAAGTTATATTTTCATGAGATATCTTTCAAACTCACTTATCCATTTTGCTTTTTTTTTTGTAAATTTTTATCTTTTTTTTTTTTTTTTTAGCAATATTCAAATTCTGGTGCATCCGTTGGAGAGGTGTTGTTGCAGCTCTATGTTGCCCAAGGAATCAAGATGCATAACAATAATACCGCTAAAACAAAACGAATTCTTTTTAACTTTCCTCCCACAATACAAGGCACAAGCACCACTCAAGGTAGAGGGCAACTTAATGTGGTTGCTGTAAGTGCGTATAACGAGGTTATAGAAGTTCGTACAAGGATATGTAAGATAGATAGTTGACTCTAGACTTGAAGGGGTTAAGATTGTAATGATCGGAGAAGCATCCCTTCCACAGCGTAAATGTTCCGGGGAAGAAGATGCCTGAGTGGAACTTCTTCTTTACCAATGGAATATGATGGAGAATTAAGATTATTTAGCCATGTATATGTGTCATGGCAAGTCCTAGATATGAAGATCTGGATTTGGAAAACTAAGGAATGTAGCTTGTCTAAACATTTGCCATGGAAATAGCGAGGGGCTAGCAACGTTTTCTCTGTTGGAAAAGAGTTGTTTGTGTCTTCTGTCAAGGCTAGAATATGCGGATTAGGTACCTTCAAACCAGATATGGCAGCAATGCTATATTTTTTATCTGATCAGTTTCTTGTAAAGACTGCATGACAGAAAGAGCCAGGTGCATTCTGGAGAACTACCAGAATCATCTTAAAACGATGGATCGTATATACGACTTCCATGTAAGGAGACTCGTTGAGAGACAACTGTTCATCATAACTGGGAAAAAAGCAGAGGCTTTAAT